AGCAACAACAACAACAACACCAACACCAACACCAACACCAACAACCACAACAACAACACCAACAACAACACCAACAACCACAACAACAGCAACAACAACAACAACGCTTACCTGCATTGCCAATCTGCGAAGGGATCGAGCGAGCACGACGCAGCGAATTGCAAGAACGCGCAAACCACGCGTTCCCACACTGCCGTGACCCGCATCGCCGCTGCCTACATCGCCGTTCGCCCGTCCACGGAGTGCTGCCGGTGCCGGCTGCGCTGCCAGCGCGGTCGGGCAGCTGGCACGATGGCACTGAGGAGTGACCTACACGGGGAGTGAAAAAGCGCGCCCCTGAGCTTGCCGTCGCTCGGATGTCCATTTCCCGTGCATTTTTAGGTTTCGTGCGTGTGTTTTTTTGCTCGATGGTCCAGGATGGTCCTCGATGGTTCTCGCCGAGAAAAAATACACACGTCCGAGCGATGCCAAGTGAGGGGACCTTTAGGACCCCGTTCAAGGGACCGCAGAGGGCCCCTCCAGACCACTGTTCTTCACGTCGGGCAGGGCCGACACGAGGATGCAAACACTCGTGTCAGTTCGTTGCCCGGGACGCTCTGAGAGGGCCGCGGCGCCCGAGACATCCTCCAGATCCGCGGGATCGCAGAGATTCCCGATTTATCCTCACGCGGCTTTGTCCTCGTCCTGGCTTCGTCTCATCACCCCCCGTGCGAGCACTCCCCATTACCACTCGCCCGACGCTTGCTTGGGCGTCGCATGCTGGGGGGCGACAAATAGGGGGGGCAGAAGAGTGCACCTCTCGAGCCCTGGAGGCCCCCTTTGGAGCCCAAGAAAAAAAAAACAGCAAAAAACTTTGACGGCCCACAAGGGCCCCTTTTCTGCAGCGCTCGCTGCCCCCCCCCTGTTTGTCGCCCCTCCATTCCACGAGGCCCAAGTCCGTCGTCCGGGACTGGGGCGGGCAGTGCTGCCAGCATTAGGTCGGGCATGTCCCCCCCCACAGGCAGATTCTGGACGAAAAATAACAACATTGTCAAACAATACCCAAAAATGATCAAAACTAATCGACAATTCGTCCCCTGAATGTTTTGACTCTTGTTTGAATGTTCCTCCTGTGGACGGATCAGCCCGCCTTCTTGCTACCAGCACCGGCCTGCGCGGCCTTCACGTTTTTCCCTCAGATTTCTGACGGGTGAATGAATATATCTGGCCTCAGGACCTCTAATCGGCGGTGGACAAACCTCCCTTTACTAAGCCTCCCTTTCAGTGGAAACGGCCTAAGACCAAAACAGACGGACCTGGACCCGCAAAAATGACGGCCGCGACGCCCTCTCGCGAACCGAAAGCGGTCAATCCGCTAATCGACGTGTCAGGGTAGGAGGTCTACCAACCTCCGATCTACAAAGAAAAGCCGGGAAAAAACACCGGCCCTGAGGACTCGGTCGAAAGGTCCGGAAGCCGAGCTGTGTGATGCAGAAGTCGTGTGTTGAGCAGGAACCGACCGTCCAGGCATTTCTCTAGGCCTACCACGAGACGTTCTCAGAACCCAGAAAAGGTTCTAGGAACAAAAGCAATCTTCCTAGAACATGAAGCCGATGTGTTAAGACAAGATAGTCCCAGCCAGACATGTTCCAAGAACGGCTCATGGAATCCACACAAGGTTCTTTCGGCGGTGGACAAACCTCCCTTTAGTAAACCTCCCCTTAGTTAAAACGGCCTGGGACCGAAGCCGACGGACCTGGACCCGCAAAAATGACGGCCGCGACGCCCTCTCGCGAACCGAAAACGGCCAATTCCTGAATCGACGTGTCAGGGTAGGATCGGGTCGGGCGAAAGGGGGGGATAGCAAAGGGGGGGCTTGAGAATCAGCTCACGCAGCTGATTTTCCCGGCGCCTCCCGGCGCCGGAGGCGGCCATGTATCGAAGAATGGGCCCCTTCGTGGGGCCGAAACCAGCTGCATGTCGCAAATTTCGTAACCCGCACTTTCCAAATCCCCCCCCTTTCGTCTGGCCCGATAGGAGGTCTGTCAGCCTCCGCTTCTTAGCACCTGGTCGTGTAGTACTAGAGGCGAGCCACAGTACGCCTCGCCACTGCTTGAGTTTGAGCAGGGACCGACCGTCCCGGCATTCCTATAGTCCTACCACGTAATGTTCTTAGAACCCAAGAATGTTCTAATTAGACCATGAACCCGTGGTGATAAACCAAGACAGTCCCAGCCAGAAATGTTCTAAGAACATTTCGTGGAAACCTCAAAAGGTTCTTAGAACATTGTTTGGTAGGCCTACAAGCGAGCCAGGACGCCTCTCGCCACTGCTTGCGTGGGGTGCCGCCCGCGTGCGGGGCGCCCAGCAGCGGGGCTTCGACTGGGCGCCCGAGGAGGAGGAGGAGGTAGGAGGAGGCAGGAGGAGGAGGAAGGAGGAGGAGGAGGAGGAGGAGGTAGGAGGAGGTAGGAGGAGGAGGAGGAGGAGGAGGAGGAGGAGGAGGAGGAGGAGGAGGAGGAGGAGGGGGAGGGTAAAGGTAAGGGTAAGGGTCGCCCACGAAGCGGGCACCGGCCGGGCACCCGGCGGACGTCGGCCCAGCGAGCGCCCGCGGAGCGGCGCCCACGGGCGGGCACCCACGGCAGCAGAAGGATCAACTAAAAGGAATAGTCTTATGTCGGGCGTGTCCCCCTACAGGGGGATTTTCGATGAAAAGTGAAAAATACCCCACAAATGCCCCGAAAAGGTCAAACAATACCAAAAAAAAGAGTCCCCAGATTATTTTTGGATTATTTTTGGATTATGTTTGGGGCTTTTTGGGGGTATTTTTATATTTGTTGTCGAAAATCCCCCTGTAGGAGGACAGGCCCGACTTAAGAATAGCCCTAACCTTTGGCGCTCCACGCGGGCTTCGCGGATCCGTGCCAGAGGCGGCGCCAGAGGCGCCGCCGGGGGGGGCCCAGCGCAGATGCAAGAAATCCGAGCTGAGCGCCCCAAGTGTATGGTGGTTATGCCGTGTTGTCGTTTTCGGAACAGGGCACCAACCGACACCCCGCCACAACCATCCAGCGCACGGGGCACCAACCGCGCCGCTGCTGGGAAGCCGCCGGTCGGCGCACACGCTTGCGCAGTTTACCCTCCTCCTCCTCCCTCTCCTCCTCTAGTGCACACCTTCCCTTTCCTCGATAAACGAGTCGATGGGGAACCTGCTCCGCCTATTCGTCAGTGTCGTCATCCTGGCCTTCCCCCGGAAGCCTCTATGCCCTCCAACTATGGCCACCGCAAGCGTTTGACGATCGCCGAACACATGTGAAAACTGCCCAGAACATATTTTTCCTCGTTCTCATCCTTCTCCCTCTTCGAAACGTTGAAGCTGGAAGCGGCCTTGGGTTTCAGTTGGGTACCATCATACCCCTCCCACCCAGCCTGCTGTCGGAGCGAGATGAGAAGCAACCTTTCGGGCAAATGGCACGCCCGGTGGGGGAGACGCAAATGGCACTCCCTCCTCCCAAAACACATTAATCGCGGTGCTTGCCTGCAGCTTGCATAGAGCAACGTGCCCGCCTCCAAGACGTCTGGACATCTCGCTAGGCACCGTCTCCTCTTTCCAGACATGCGACGTCCTGATTGTTCCAATGCTGCGTACCCAGAACTCCAGACCCTTTGCAAGGGGCTGCTCTTCCATCCTGAATCGTCTTTTGGCGCTCCCGGGGACCAGCGAGGGCCCCCAGGGGGCCAACCATAGCGAAGCACTTGTCGTCCTGTTTTATTTCTATATATATATATATATACATACAATTACATATACATACACACAAGTGGCACGTGTGTGCCCAGACTCATACCCAAAAAAAAGAAAGGGCGCTTGAAGCAGGAAGATACCATGACTGCAGGATCGGAGATGGAGAAGGGGAAGCTGGGGCGGCTCCGCCAGGGCGTGCCTAAGAGAAGGGGAAGAGGCAGGAGGTGAACGCAGAAGAATCTAAGATCGAGGTCGCACTCGAGCGCAAGTTGGGTTGCCACACCTTGCGATGTGTGTACCAGGGCTCCCAGGAGGCCCGACTTGGATACTGGAAGAGGCTCCAGGAGGCCCCGGGATAGTGAGTGTTGTGTGTGATGTGTGCGCTGTGTTGTGCGTGTTTTCTGTGCGTTGTAGGTGTTGTGTGTGTGTTATGGTTGCCTAGCGTGTGATGTGTTGGGTGTGATTTGTGTCTCTGTGTGTGCATTTAGTTCTGAGGCCCCAGGAGGCCCCAGGAGGCCCCAGGCGGCCTCAGGAGGCCCCAGAAGACCCCAGGAGGCTCCAGGAGGCCCCAAGAGGCTCCAGGAGGCCACAGGAGGCCCCAGGAGGTTCCAGGAGACCCCCAGGAAGCTCCGAGGCGGGGTCTGGAGTACCAGACGGTACAGAAAGCCCCAGAAGGCACCAGGAGGTTCCAAGAGGCTCCCAAGAGGCTCCGAGGCGGGGTCTGGGGTACCAGAAGGTACGTCGGGCTCGATTTTGAGGGGATGTCTCCGGCGAAATCGCCATTCTCTGAGAATCGGGGACAAACTCATTGAAATTACTATGTGTGTTTGAAGGTTTTATGTTAGAATGTTGAAATTCCCATGTGTTTTTGGACCCTGACGTCACGATCTGCGTGAGGGGTGCCACCGATGTTCAGAATTTCGAGGATGTCCCTAGCGAAACGGCCAGAAACATCGCGGACGCCGCTTTCAATTAATCGGCTCTGAGCTCTACTCCCTCGGAGAGGTGCGTATGATAATATATATATATATATATATATACATATTAAGAACAAAAAAAAACGGCGCGAGCACGCCTGGGTTCCCGAGTCGCTATTTGACGGCCCCGCGGCTCCGCCAGGCTCCGCCAGGGTCCCAGACCTGGGTGTCCCGAATCCTCGGCGGGCAGAGGACAAGGACGACGAAGAGGACGACGAGGACGAGGACGAGGACGACGCCGAGGCCGAGGCCGAGGACGACGCCGACGACGAGGACGACGACGAAGACGAGGACGAGGACGGCGCCTTCGCATCCGCCGCCGACGGGTTCAGGCCAGTCAGTACCTGCGCCGCGCGCACGTCGCCACGGGGGCACGCCGCGTTCGGGTCGCCGCCGTCGGGGGAGGAGGAGGAGGAGGAGGAGGAGGAGGAGGAGGAGGAGGAGGAGGAGGAGGAGGAGGAGGAGGAGGAGGAGGAGGAGGAGGAGGGAGGAGGACGAGGAGGAGGAGGAGGGGGGGAACGAGATGGAGCCCGCACATACAGCGTCTGCCGCTATCCAGCTCCGCGCCACCACCACCACTCCTGCGAGGCGAGCGCCAACAACCTCCAGAAAACACACCCACACAAGCGAACCCCTTTGGCAGCCGCGCCAGCTGGGGAAACAGAGCCAAGCAGGACTGCCTCGCCAACGCACCAGGACTGCCCAGGAAACGCAAGCTGTGGGGGTCGGGGGAACTCCCTGTCTTGAGTGAGGATGGCGAGGAGGTGGATGTGGAAGGAGGGATGACGGTCAGGAGGGAGAGGAAGGGAACGGGGGGATGGAGGCGGAAGGGGGGATGGAAACGTAGGGGGATGGGGACGGCGGGAGAGGAGGCAAGGGGAGTGAAGGCAGAAGGGAGGGAGGCAAGGAAAGGGAGAGGCAGGCGCAGGCGAAGGCGTGGACAGAGGGAGGGCCTCCCAGCGAGGCGGCATGCCGAGGCCGCGGGCACGGCCTCTTTCACCAAGCAGGGGCAATCGCGCGCCCTCGCCCTGCCCGAGGGGCAAGGATAGGGGGGGTGGGCATAGGGGGGGATTCATCGACCTGGGACACATCGTCGATAGATCGGCGATGGGCCCCCGATCGTGCATCCGCACCTTCCTGGGCGGGGTGGGGCTATCGGGCCCTATCGGCGATCAATCGGCGTTTGGGTTTCGATGCGTCCCCCCCCCCCTATGCCTCTCCCCCCCTATCGTTGCCCCCGACTGCCCCCGACTGCCAGCCCCAGTGCGCGCAGCAACTCGCTGCTCACTCGGCCGCTCCGCGCCGCGGCCCCGGGGCCGGCGGCACCCCCGTGGCGCCGCTGCCTGGACTCCCCCGCTGCGAGGGCAGCGGCGGCCCCCTCAGGGCGGCCACCACCGCCGCCTCTTTGAAGGGGGCGGAGCAGTCCTCCTCCTCCTCCTCCTCCTCCTCCTCCTTATCCTCCTCCTCCTCCTTCCTCCCTCCTCCTCTTCCTTCCTCCACTCCTCTCCTCCTCCTCCTCCTCCTCCTCCTCCTCCTCCTCCTCATCGCCTCCTGGGCACGCTTCTTGACCGACGCCCCCGCCGTATGTTCCATCTCCACTTCGGCCCCCTCCCTCTTGGAGCCTTGGTGCGCGCGTTGCACACGGCGGTGAACCCCTCCTCCAGGAGGACGCCGGTCGGGCGGGCGGCGGCGGGGGGCGGCTCCCAGCACGAGGAGGGGGGCGGGGGGCCGTGTACCCTGACCTTCCAGAGAGCTATTTTTTAGCACGGGAGGCCTAAAGACATAAAAAACTGAACCAAACAGCCTAAAACCAAGACGTAGAATAGCTCTGGGATAGGTTTTTAAGTCGCGTGCTATTTTTTAGCCCTCCTGGAAGGTCAGGGTAGGAGCAGGGTGTGTGGGCGGGGGGGGGGGGCGGAGGGAGCGCACGAGAGCGGCGCTCCGTGGGGTGACCCTGGGTTGTCCCTGACTGCCTACCAGACCACCCCCCCAAGCTGAAGAGCCGAATTTAGGGTTTGGGGGGGGGGGGGTACGGGCTTCATCTGTGTTTTTGCATTTGTTCCCCGATCCCCCCCCCCTGATCCCTCCCCCCTCACACTGGACAACATGAAGGGCACATCGGGGTCTTCGTGGGTTGGGTTGGGGTGGTTTGGTGGGCGGTGAGCCCCACCCCATCCCCTGCCCCTGTCCAGGGTGCGCGAAGAAACGCACCGTCCCCCCTGCCTCTGGAAAAAACAAAATCAATTTGCAAATTGAGTTCAACTTGATTTGGGACGTGGGGATTCAGAATTGAATTTGTTTCTGGTGCGGTTGAAATAAATTGTCAGAGGGAGGATTTAAACATTGTAAATCGTTGTCAACATCAAGACAAACACCTGGCTGTAATCGCACGAACGGCGGGACCTACCGTCCCCCCCCCCTCCCTGGGAGGCCAGACGCACCGTCGGCGCGCCCCCCCGTGGGCAGAGCTTCTCGGAGAGGAGGGCCCCGGGGCTCCTCGGGAGCCCCCTCGGTGGGCCCGCCGGTCCTTCCGAGAAGGCCGCCCGCCCAGGCTGCCATTCCCCCGGGGCGCGGCGCCGAGGGGTGCCTCCCCCTCCTCCTTCCTCCTCCTCCTCCTCCTCCTCCTCCCTCCTCCTCCCCTCCTCCTCCTCCTCCTCCTCCTCCTCCCCCTCCTCCTCCCCTCCTCCTCCCCCTCCTCCTCCCTCTCCTTCTCCTCCAGAAAGGCACGGGCCTCCTCAGAAGCGCCCCGCCACTCCGTTCTCTCAGCGGGCCAAATAGGAGCACCGCCACCACAGCCGTGTGGCTCCGCCACCACAGCCGCGCCCGACCGCACGACGACAGGGAGCGACGAGCGGCGAGCGACGACGACGACGACGCCGCGAGCAGCATGCAGGTGGCGACCTGCCACACAACGACTGTGTACACCACAGTGCTCGCGTGCACCACAGCGCGCGTGTACGCCACAGCGCCTGCGTACACCGCAACAGCCGTGTGCGACGCAGCGCCTGTGTACACCACAGCGCAGGTGTACACCGCAACAGCCGTGTGCGACGCAGCGCCTGTGTACACCACAGTGCTTGCGTGCACCACAGCGCTGGTGTACACCACTGCGAATGTCTAACGCCGCAGCAACAATGTACTACCCAGCGCATGTGCACGCCACAATGCTTGAGTGCACTTCGACGCCTGTCTACACCACAGCGTCCGCGTGCACGCAGTGCTGATGTACACCACAGTGCCTGGGTGCACAGGACAGGCAGAACGAGCATGTAGGTGAGGATCTGCTGCGGACAGCTAAACGCCACGCCATGAAAGTGCTGATCATAGAATGCAATGTTCTTCTCTTCTCCCTCTTCCTCCTCCTCCTCCTCCTGCTCCTCCTCCTCCTCCCTCCTTCTCCTCCTCCTCCTCCTCATCCTCCTCCTCCTCCTCCTCCTCTTCCTGTTCCTCTTCCTATGCGGATCCCGATGCGCACGGCGGCAGTGCCCGGAGCGCACTGTGGGGGAGGGGCGTTACGTGATAGGAGGGGGGGGCTGGGGGCTATAAAACACGCTCTAGCCTCTGAGGAGCCCATAGAATGGACGTGCGCGCACACCCACGTGCACGAACATGGCCCCCCAGCCCGCGGGACCTGACGCGTGATACGAAGGTTCGCGCAGCGCATACTCCCGAAACCAACGTGGATACGCGTACGTTTAGGTCGGGGGTGTCCCCCTACAGGCGGATTTTGGATGAAAAATCAAAAATAGTTTGACAAACAAATCAAACATACTCACAGATAGTCGAAACATCGATCTTAGACTATTTTTGAATACGTTTTGGATATTCTCCTGTAGAAGGACAGGCCCGACTTAAACGTACGTGTACGTCCTCGTTCGGCTCCCGAAGCAAAAACAGTATGACATAAAGCTGCCCGTCGCCAGGGACGCCTGAAGCAGCGCGGCTGGACAGGTGGCCTGCCGTTGTGCCAATGGCATGTCTAGCGCGTGCTGCCATGCTTCTCGGTTGTCTGCTCAAGAGTTCCTTTTAACATCTCATCCCCCCCGCTCTACCCTCTCCTCCTCCTCCTCCTCCTTCTCCTCCTCCTCCTCCTGATCTCCACCTCCTCCTCCTTCTCCTCCTCCTCCTCCTCTTCCCCCTCCTGGTCGTCGTCGATGTCTTTCAGGGTCGGCGGCACCGGCCGTCAGGCCTTCACAATCTCATGCCCCCCGCCCTACAAGCAAACGTACCCTGATGTTGCCCTCTTGCGTTTCTATCGGCCTCCAGACGCCTCCGAGAGAGACGATAGCAGTTCCAGACTGGCTACGAGATACCCTAGGCTCGTCCAAAGACGACCCAACGAGGTCAAAAAGGCGACTGTATCTCCAAGCAGATGTCCAAAGACGCTTCAAGAAGACACACGCGGAGGCCACCAGAAGAGCCTTCCTAAACACGTTGGATTTCCCCGAGACGTACCCAAACCCTTCTCTACGCGAGGCGAAGATGTGTATAAACGCTCCATACTCCATACAAAAGAACACATTGCCAACGATGCTGCCCTCATCTCCGCCGTACCTCCCAGGAGCCTACTAAAATGGCAACGGTTGCGCAGTCCGCAGCCACCCGGGGAGCGGAGCAGCGAAGTCCCAAGTGGGTCCGCGTGGCCCCAGGAGTCCGCGAGCAGTTCGCGGCCAACACGGGAGCAGCGAGGTCTCCTCATGGATCCGCGTGGCCCCCGAGTCTGCTGGACACCCCAAGAGCCCATGCAACTGGCGACGACTGCGCCGTTCGCAGCCCCCCAGGGAGCAGCGAGGTCCCCAATGGGTCTGCGTGTCACTCCACTCTCCGGTGGACCTCCCGGAAGACAACAAAAAAGCGGCGCCGGTTGCGCAGTTCGGAGCCACGCTGGGAGCAGCGAGGTCCCAGCTTGATATCTGCGTGTAGCCCCGACTCCGCTGGACTTCCCAGCCCAGGAGCCCGCGAAAGTGGCGACGCTTGTGCGGTTCGCATCCGTCCATGGAGCAGCGAAGTCCCTAACGGGTCTGCATGGCCCCCGACTCCGCTGGAACTCCCAAGATCATGCGAACATGGCGCCGGTTGTCACAGCCACCCGGTTAGCAGCGAGGTGCAGGCTGGATCTGCGTGTCCCCCGACTCCGCTGGACCTCCCAAGGATCCCACGAAAGTGGCAAGTCTTGCGCAGTTCGCGGGAGCAGCGAAGTACCCAAGGGGTCTAGGTGTAACTCCACACGGGTGGACCTCCCAGGAGCCCACAAGGACGGCTGCACCGGCCGTAAGGTCTTCGCAATAGCCCAGAAAGTTTCCAAGACGGTCCCCAAACCTGCACAAACTTGACATATACGAGTCAAACGAGCCTCTTCGGGGGAGCTATGCGGAACCATCGCGCCCAAGACGGGCAACCACGAGGTCCCCGAGAAGGTCAAAGAGGCCCTCCTCCCAAGAAGCCCCCGAGGTAGCTTCCAAAGAAACTTCCAATACGCCCTCAAGCAACACGAGGACAGAGGAGGAACGAAGAGGGCAGAGGCAAGACCCGCGCAAGTTCAAACAAGGCGCTGAACTGCAATTGGTTCTGAAGCTCGACTTCCGTCCAGCTGCGCCGCTGTGCGGCACGGTGGCGGGATTCGCCGCAGGCAGCTGGATACCACTACGGGTGCGGCATGCGGGGGTGCAAACTTTCCAGCCGCCCTGGCAAAAGCGCCCCCGAGGACGGACAAGACAATGTCATGCCGCTCCTCGCCAGCTGACCCGCTGCCGTCCGCCCGGGCTGTGGACGCTCTGGACCTCGGCCTGGCTGTCCCCGAAGAGGAGGACGGGCCGGTTGCAGTTCTGCCCCTCCCAGCCCCAGGCCCGCATCCTGTCACGCAGGTCGGGCAGCGGAACCTGCACCTTGACCTGTGGGTGGGTGGTGTGGGGGGCAAGCATTCGTTGCTGACCCTTCTCCTCCTCCATTCCTGTCTTCAAAGTGACATGACTTTTCCACGTCGCACCCCGAGGCCAATTTTTAGGGCGGGCCGGGCGTTTAGCTTGAGACTTCCTCACCACTTGTGGCCCTGAAGCTTAAACATTGACAACATTTTCACGAATGGAGGCGGGTGGTTTTCAAAATGCGGCTCTCGCCTCAGCGCCGCGCGCATTCGTTTTACACATTCGAAAGAGTTTCAAATATTGAGGGCGGATGGTATTTAAAATGTGGCTCTCGCCTTAACGCCGCGCTCATTCAATTTACACATTTGAAGAATTTCACGGATTGAGGGCGGGTGGTTTTCAAAATGTGGCCCTCGCCTCAGCGCCGCACATTCGTTGTACAAATTTGTAAGAGCTTCACGGACTGAGGGCGGTTCCTTTTCAAAATGTGCTCCCGCCTTAGCGCCACGCACAGACGTTTATTCAACATTGAAAATGTTTCACGGTTTCCCATGATCACCAAACCAGCATTTCAGAAATGGTATAAATGCAAGGATGCCGGATTAATGAGGGTGCCACAATCACGCTGGCTCGCGGTGCTGAAGTCCCAGGAATGGCGTTCTGGCGCGATGCAAGATCGTCAAGACGCAGCAATCAGGTTGATCCGTGGCGATGGAATCCCGAGAACAATGTTTTGGTATGCTTCAGGGTCTTCAAGTGGTTATCTTCCAGCGATGCATTTCCCTCGGTGGAAATGAACCGCTGTAGGGGCTTATGAAGAGGGAGCTTGGAGGGAAGGTTTATTCCAACATCGTTGAGCAGCACAATGCACAAAATTCCGCGTGGACTTCTTGGATCGGCGCTGGCCCCTAAGGTCCGCCTTCAGCTCCGCCAGTGGGGATCACACAGACTCACCGCCACCGCTGCTCAGACCTCTCCTGGAGGCGCCTGCAGACCAGGATGCCGCGGCGATCCCAGCCCTGGCAGACAAGGGTGAGGCAGTGGCATCGGCATCTGAATCCTAGCCTGAGGCGGGGATGGCCAAGCACCGATACCAGAGGAAAGAACATACGACATAAACATAAACTTTTGGAGGTCCGCGCGGAGTTCTCGGATCCACGCTGGGCCCCCCTCCCAAGCGCGCGGAGCGCGCCAGGGGCGGCCTGCGGTGGAGGCGCCGCCAGGGGGGGCCCAGCGCGGGTCCAAGAACTCCGCGCGGATCGCCAAGACAATTTTTGCTCTTATGTCCCATTGTCCTTCCTCGCGTATCGGAAAGCAAACAGTAAGCTGTTTTTGTTCACCTTCGAGATACGAAGTGCCTGTGCGGACCTCCAGAAAAATCATGCTCATTCGACGAGCGCGCTCCACTACTCGCAAAGTGACTGCTCGCAGATGGCCTGGACCCCCCTGCGGAGGCTCTACGCTACATTATGTCAGAGCGGGCATCTGATTTTGTTCGGACGTTTGCGAGTGGGCACTTTGCGAGCAGTGGGATTGCGCTCGGTGGCTCGTGCAGAGTGCTCTCCTCTGCTCGTCTCCCCTGGCCGACCCCGGGGGGCCTCCAGCGGCCGTGCCGGGGGGATCCGTGCACAAAATGATCAAAAAAAAAACTGAGCAGTAATCAGAAAACATCGTCCCCAGACCATTGTTTGACTATTCTTCAGCATTCCTCCCGTGGAAGGCCATGCCCGACTTCATGCTGGAGGGCACCTCAAGGCTGGACAGCCGACGAGAGGACCGACGAGAACCACCCCCCTCTGGGGCGAGTGCTCAATGAATGGGGGGGTGGTCGGGATGGGGGGTGAAGAGATAGAGGGCAAAAAATCCACTCCCATACAACCCCGACACGCGAAGCCGTTTACTAAACGCCCCCACTGAAGGAATCGAACAAGGCAGGGCTCTTTAGTAAACGCCCAAGGCCATCTAGTAAACGCCAATTGTCCGGTCCGGGTGGTTTTTCCCCCCTTGAAGAAAAGGGCCCTTAAGGGGCCCCTGGGGCCCTGTCACAAGGGGCCCTAAAGGGCCCCATGTAGGGCCTGTCTCTTCACCCTCCTTTTGGGCCAACCCCCATTTGGACCGACGACCGACAAGAACCACCCCTTTGGGGCGAGTGCTAAGGGGGGGTGGTCCAGAGGGGGGGTGAAGAGAAGGGACCTACAGTGGGGGCGTTGACCTAAGGAACCCTAACTTAAAGAAGGAGCGAGGCCCCTGTTTCCCATACATTGGACTTCTATGTCCCAGGGGGGGAATCTTAGGAACACACATGGCAAGCTGTCACACAAGCAAGGGACACCGCGCCCCTCCCGAACGACAAGGGTTCCTTCTTCAGCGCCCCGACTGCACGAGGAGCCCTTGCGGGCCCCCCCTGGGCCCCTGCTGGCTCCACGAAGGGCCCGAAAGGGCCCCTTTAGGGCCTCTCTCTTCACCTTCCCAGCTTGGGCCACCCCTCCGCTAATTACCACCCGCCCGACCCTCCCCCGAATCCTCAAAAATCAGACGCGCTTCTGTGTGCTCCGGTGCCGGCCGTTGTCCTTCCAGCGACAGGAAAGGGCGGCCTTCTGAGAGAAGCGGGAGGGCCCGCTCGGACAGCAGGGGCCCTTTTTCAAGGAAGGCAGGTGGGCGTCTTGGAAGGCAGGTGGGCGTCGAAGAAGGCCCCCTGCACAGCACCGCCGCCTCCTTAGAAGCCCAAGAAGCGACAATACAGTTGCGTCTGTTTTTTTTGGGGGGGGGGACTGATTTTTCAAAAGCTGACCTTGGGCCATGAAACCAATAATGAGAAACAACCCAAGCAAACATCCTGGACACACGAAACAACAACTGATGAGGGATCGAACCCAAGCGAAGGCGGAACCATAAGCAAACAATATGGTACCCAAAGCGGAGGCGGAGCAAGAAACCCAAACTGCGCCGGAACTGGCGACACCAACTGCAACAAGGACCCGGTAATGACGTCGGCGGCGGGCGAGGGAAGGAAGTGATTCAGGAGGGGGCGGCCTTCTCGGAAGGCGGCGGGGCTTCTCAGGAGCCCTCTGCCGTGCTGAGAAGCGCTCCGTCTGCGGGGCAGGCGTCGAAAACTGCTCGGACGGCCTTCCGAGCCGTCTGCGGAGGCCCGCCCCCTCTCAGTTTCCCCCCCCTGTCCTCGCCGCCGAGGGGCCAGAACGGCCCTGTCGCTTCCGGGGCCCGTGCGGCTCCTGCCCCTCCTCTCCCGGCGCAGGAGGGAGCCGCTCGGAAGCCCTGCGGACTCCCACGACGGCTGCCCAGAAGCCTCGGGGCCCTTCTGCGAAGGCAGCGTGCCTTCTCAGACTACGGGGCCCAAAAACAGATACCACCACCACCTCCTCCATCCCCTCCTTCACCCTGGACAACAGAGGAGAAGAAGTGGATCGTGTAGGCAGGGGGGAATAGGACATAGCGGTGGGGCATGTTGCTGGGACCCGCGAAGACGCTAGGCCGCCCTCTCAGAAGCCCACCCCCCTCACATGACCCACTTATGGGCGCCGCCAATGTTTAGGTCGGGCATGTCCCCCTACAGGTGGATTCTGACGAAAATTAAAAATACTCCAAAATGTACACCAATAGTCAAACAGATTCTCAAGTAATCTTCCCCCGACTATTTTTTACGATGTTTGAAGATTCCTACTGTAGAGGGACGTACCTGACTTAAGCCAATGTCCGTCGGTCCCCCTTGAGATGCATCGTCGGGGGGCCCTGTCGGTCCCGACGCGCCGCCGAATCCGCGTCGAATCCACGTCGTACTTGTCGAGTCTGCGTCGAGTCCATTGGAATCCGCTTCGAGTTATTGGCGGCGAGCGAGAGGGGGAAGTGAGAGGGAGAAGGACTTCTCAGAAGGCGGCAGGACTTCCCCAAGCCCTCGCAGCTTCTGAGAAAATGTTCTGTCTTCGGGGAAGGCTCAGCAAGCTCCTCAGAAGACTGGGGGACCTCCGAAACTTCTGAGAAGGCCTTCTCCTTCTTACTCCCCCCCCCTCGCTCGCCGCCGATTCACGTCGCCAAACCCGCGTCAAACCCGCGTCTCTGGACGCCAAAGATGGGTACGGAAAAAATCGGGCACGGTGCCCAAAAATAACTGTTGTCTAAAATCGACAGCGGCCGCTGTTCGGCAGACGGCCTTCTGTCTCAAGAGGACAACGTCAGCGGCGGCGCGGACGGCGAGTCCTGTTCAAAATGAAGTCGAACTGCTGTTGGCCTTCGTACCCCTATTCTCCGTACCCAATCCTTTCGTGCCGAGCGTCGGGCACAAGAGAAGACAACAATTTGCAGGGCAGACACGGTCCCGCGAAGATGCCACACAAATCATCCCCTTGAGGGCGCCGCCCCAGTGTTCTTCGGCCCCTGAGCCACTTGGGGCACATGTAACCACTTATAAGACATATCCACCCAGATATGACACACCTTGGCATCAACTTACACGCCCCCCGATCTGCGGTGGCAACTCGTGGGAGCCTCCCCTACCATATTATTGGCCCGCAGTAATCGGCGCTAGTTGACGCTAATCGAAAATGATCGACGGCTCATCGACGCTAACCCACGCCAGTCGACGTTGAATGGATTATATCTCATTGACTACCAGACGCAGCTCGACGGTACATACGGAATTCGGACGGTATACAAGGCTCCCATACTTTACTACCGACCTCTCCTTAGCGACCACCGCACCGATTGAAGCGCCAATGCCCTTCGGCCCCAAATGGCGATCCCCCCGCGAGGGCCCCCTTTGCGCACGCTATTCCAATGCGAGGGCCTCGTCGGTGCAGGCTATCCCCCTTGACAGGGCTTCCCCGGGGCACGCTAGCCCCAGGGTGGGGGATAGCGAGCGGGCTAGCGTAGAGGGCAGAATACCCACACCCGTAATAATCACCCCGACACGCGAAGCCGTTTAGCAAACGCAGCCACAGAAGGAATCGAACAGGGCAGGGCCGTTTCGTAAACGGCCAGGTCCGTTTGGCCAACGCTGGACGACGACCACGACGACGACGACGACGACGACGACGGCGCGGCAGCCGCTGTGATCGGGTCCGGGTGGCCGATCCTCCCTGGATGGCGGCGCCACATCGCACGCCATCTGTGCGACGCCACATGTAAGTACGCATACACTCTGATGTGTGTTGTCGTCCGATCGAGGCGCCACTGCCCTCCGGCCCCGCGGAGGCCTCGCCGCGGCGGAGCGTCGCTGCGCCCGCGGCGGCGCGGACCTCCAGCGAGGCCATCTGCGGGTGCCGCGCCAGCGCGCGCAGCTCGTGCGGCTCCGGGGCGGGCGCGCTCGGCCTCCGGCATCCCGCGGGGACTTTCCCTGAGAGCGTCTCTGAACGCTGCAGCCTCATCACAAACAGACCCCCTCGCGTCGTATAACAAAATCACGGCGGGGTTTCGCTCGTAATGTTCTGCCTCTTGGGGCCCTTACCGGGCCTCGGGACCGTCAAGAAAAACTGCTCGCGGTGAGAAACAAGCCCTGGGCAAAGGGCCGAACCCTCTGGGGACCGCGTAATTAAAAACACAGGCATCGCCTGTCTGGCGCTGATAGCGCTTCGCTAGACGGCTCTGCTTGGATCGCCGCGCAGGATGGTCAGGTGATAAGGGGCAGTGTCGCAGCGGCGGCCCCGGCGACACGCTCTGCCCTGCGAACGGACAACGTGCCGCTCCGCTCCGCGGGGCGGGAGGCTCGGGAACGCTCTGGACTTTGACGCCTGCGGGGTGGCCGCACCGTGGATAGCGTGTCGGCCGCCGAAGCGTGCTGGGCCAGAACCGGCGGAGCAACACGCGATCCAAAACTTTCCGACCGCGGGACAGTCTTAAATCGATGCTTCGGCGGGTTATATCTGGCCTGGCCTGGCGTTCTTGCGTCGTCGACCTCCTGCCCTTCCCCTCCTCTCCCCCCTTCGCCGGGCAGCAACGCCTGCCGGGGAGCAGCATGGTAGCACGCAACTGTTGCGGAGGGGCGGGGGGGCGCGAACTACTGCACTGGTGACAAGCGCACCCTGGTGGCGGACGGCTCCCCGACGACTGGCGAGGCGCGGTTGCTGGAGAGCAGCCCAGGGGGCCCGAAGACCTCCTGGGACAGCCAAAGACCACCGATATATCCCCCGAAGGCATCCGCGAGAACCAACTTTGGCCCTACTCGCGATCATGCCCATGACGGGCCCCGCTCACGCGCCCCCTCCTGAGCTCGTTTTTTTCTCCAGACTCCGGCAAGTCTACTTGCGTGGAGTGGAGACGGGGGGGCTGAACTTGCACGTTCGAAGATTACGCAAGCCGAGAGGCACTTGCACGCTAGTTTTCGTTCGAAGAGGGGCGAGGGGTGGGGTGGGGTGGGGTGGGGGGGGGGGCGAACGCCATGCAAGTAATCTTTCTGAGCAAAACAAAATCTGAGCCACTCCTGCAAGGCATATTCCCAGACGGCGCCGCCGTGAATCGTGACGTGACCTGCCCTCTCTGGGTCACGCCCGTTCCCTGACCGGCAGGCTAACAAACACACAACAGGACCTTCACGTGTAAATGCCTGTCGATGCTTTCGGCAGCCCAGGCAGGTCTGGAGGGATTTTCATGTAATTCGCACTCTGATGGTTACTGCCAGGGGATCCAACAAGACGCCTCCCAAAGGGCTGGACCAGGGAGTTCGAACTGGTTGGGACCACAGAGCATCGGTCAGGAGGCGAGGCTCAATCTGCTCAAACTCGGTTCCTGGACTCCTCCGGGGGGGCCCATCTGGTGCAGCTTTCATCGAGGATCAGCTTCCGACGGCCCCAGGACCCGAAAACGGCCCCCGGAGGCCGAACAAGGCGACAACAAAGAAAACGCTCTCGAACCCAGAACCTCGAAACTGCCCGCCCTTCCTGCTGGCTGAAACCAATGTTGGCAGCTCAGGCCCCCAGACCCAAGCCTCTGCAAGCGTTAACAAACGGGCCAGTAGCTAAGAGTGCGATCTCCATTGTATTTTAGAAAAACTGGCTTGCCGCGCACCAGTGCGAGGTACCCCCACCCGCCCACAGTTATGATGATACATCGACGTTTCTGCCGTCCCGACTTGTCACGCACCCGTGCGAGGTAAAGGCCCTGTCGGCCCGTTCTCGCTTGAAGAGGCCCCTTAGCTAGACCGCTCCGTTTACGAACGCCCCGCTTGCAGGGGCTTGGCACACGGCTCCAGATCGGTCGCGACCGGTCGCGACCGATCCCAAAATCGGTCGCCACCCGTCGCCACCGATCGCGACCGATCGGTCGCGACCGATTCTGAAGCAAGTCGGCTGCGACCGATACAGATGTACGAAGCAAAATCAATAGCGACCGATCTCGTCGGTCGCGACTGTAAACATCCAGTATCCAACGATCAGGGCGTGGCAGCCCCCGCGCCGATCAAAGCCAGGGCCCCTGCGGCAGGAGGCGGGAGGCTGAGAGGAGCGGGCAGGAGGAGGAGGAGGAGGAGTAGGAGGAGGAGGAGGAGGAGGAAGAGGAAGAGGGGGAGGAACAGGCCTCCTGGGGCAGGAGGAGGGGGAGGAGGAGGAGGGAGAGGGGAGGAGGAGGAGGGGAAGGAGGAGGAGGAGGAGGAGGAGGAGGAGGAGGAGGAGGAGGAGGGATGGAGGAGGAGGAGGAGGAGGAGGAGGACCAGTGGGCCCCCGTGCGACGCCCCGCTTTTCTCCACGGCGAGCGGCCCCGCGGCGGCGAGCGGCTCGCCGGGCGCCGCGCCAGGCGCCGCGTCGGCGCCGCGGCTGCCTCGGCAGGGGGGGGAGGGATCGCGGGCCCCGGGGATTTTCGAGGCCTCCCAGGTGGGGTCCGAGCAGACGGGGCCGGAGGATCGCGACGCATCGCTAATGCATCGGCGACGCATCGGCGATGCATAGCCGACGTCGGCGAAGCAACGGCGACGTCGGCCTGGAGGGAATCGGGCTCCGCATCGAGCCGTTTCGCCGATGCATCAGCGATGCGGCGCGATCCCCCGACCCCATCCACTCCGTTTAGGTGGCCTAAAGACTTACACACCAGCAAACCAGCTCCATTCCCCCTCCTCCTCTGCCCTCCTCGGGCGTTGCCTGGTGGGGGGGCGGCAAAAGAAGGGGGGGAGGGGGGGGGAAGGTGCACCTCTGGTGCCCCTTTCGGGCCCCACGGGGCCACTTTAGGGCGCAAGAGGTGCACCGTTTCTTCACGCCCCCAGTTGCAGCCCCAAAATTACGTAACGCCCAACCTCCTGTTCCTCTCCGCTTTCCTGTGAGAGGGAGGGGACGGGGAAGTGGCGGTGCTGTATACTTTTGGGCCCCGTAGCAACGCGCTCGGGGGGGAACGGGTGCTGGCAGACGGTCCTCCTTCCAGGACTAGCTCTTCCTCCCGAGAGTTTTCTGGAGGCCCCAGGGCCCGTGCAGGGACCCGTGCAGGGCCCCAGGGAAGCAGAAGCGAAACGAAAAACCTCAGGACCAAGGGGTGGAAAAGTGATACGGGATCAGAAGTGGATGCCTTGCTGGGTTATATCTGACCTAGCGTGGCTTGCAAGTGCCGCGAGTGGCTCAGATGGGCAAGATGCCTCCGCCGAGTGGGCGGACCCCGCTTAGCCCGGATCGCAAACAACCCCCTGAGCTGCTGATGGCAATTCCAGCCCACCCCTAAGCCAGGTTAGGCCAGATACAGTGGGAGTCCATGCCAAGAAACACCCTGCTTGCATCCAGGGTGCCCTGGGTCTCTTGGGTGTCGATAGTTTTACTATGGAAAGCGTGACGTTCCCTGACCAAGAATCAATCGAGGTCCTGGGATCTCAGGGTTGGGTTTCGTGTGGAAGGTTTCTTGTGGACTGGCCTCCACTGTATATCGCCCACCTTGGCACTCAGTTTGGCATCCACTGATGACCCGCCTGCTGTCAGGAGCTTGTGCATCGCGCGGCGCGGCGGCGGCCTTGGCAACGCGCTCTGCCCTGCAAGCGGATGGCGTGTCGCTGCGATCCATGGGGCGGGACACCCGAGAAAAGCTCGGGACGCTGACGCTCGAGGACCGGGCCGCGGATACCCTGTCGCGCCGAGGCGTGGCTGACCAGAAGCGGCCGCGCGACACGCAAGCAGAGCCGCAGCAGCCCCCGCACCGATCCAAATCAGGAGCCCTTTTTTCTGCACGGCGGCTCTCCCGCCCAGCCCGAATCCTATCGAAGTCGGTCCCCGCACCCCTCCCAGGGTCCATCCCGACCTGCTTTTCGAGGCAGTTCCACCAGGACCCCAACCCCCGACGTCCTGATTTTCCCATAACGTCGACCCCGAGAGGTCTCGACCCATTCCCCGGGACCCGTTTTTCACTCTGAGTCGTCTTTTGACGGTGCCGAGGCCGGGAAGGCCCCAAGAGGCCCAAAACAGTGAGAAACACCGCCGCCGTGACATTTCCAGGAATCGATGGATTCTGGGTAGGGGCCATCCCCCTTGGAAACCCTCGCGCCGATCCAAGTCAGGGGCCCTCTCGGCAGGAGGCGGGAAGATTAGAGCGGGGAGGAGGAAGATGAGGAGGAGGCCTCCTGGGGAGGAAGGAGGAGGAAGGAGGAGGAGGAGGAGGAGGAAGGAGGAAGGAGGAGGAGCCATCAACGATGTCGGAACGAACCTCCCCTCCAAGCTCCCTCTTCATGGCCCCATGCAACGGTTCGTTTCCACTGAAGGATCTGCCTCGTTGGAAGACAACCGTTTGAAGACATTGAAGCATGCCAAAGCATTGTTTTCTTCATTCCAACGCCATAGATCAACCTGACTGCTGCGTCTTGACGATCCCGAATCTTACCAGAACGCCATTCCTGGGACTTCAACACCGCGAACCAACGTAACTGTTCCCCCCCATAACCCTGAACCCTTCGAAACAACATGTCTGGATCATGAGATTCCGTGAATCTCGTGTAACTGTTTAAAACGAATGTGAACGGCGCCAAAGCAATAACCACATTATTAAAAGGAGCCGCCCTCAACCCGAGAACATTTTGCAGTTGTTTACAACGAGTATGCGCGGCGCAATGGCCATAGCCGCAGTTTCATGTTCCCTCGCCCTCCATGCGTGAAATCACTGCCAATGTTTAAACTTCAGGGTCATAACTGGTGGGGACGTATCAAGCGAAATACCTGGAACGCCCTTGAAGCTAGCCTCGGGTTGTGACAGGGAGAAATTGCTCCGAAGGAGTGGAAGAGGTAGAGGAGGAGGAGGAGGAGGAGGAGGAGGGAGAGGAGGAGGAGGAGGAGGAGGAGGAGGAGGAGGAAGGCCCCTGACAACACGAGGCTCATCAACGACGGTGGGACAAACCCTTCCTCTGGCCCCCGATTTCGGCAACTGCCCGAGGCGCCGCCCGTGCAGGCGGCGTCGCGAAGCCCGCTCGCGTGCG